GCATAATGGTATATGTACCAAAATGTTAACTAAAGCATTCTTTATAACAATAAAAAATTAAAAGCAACAGAGACAGGTTAAGTTAAATTACAGTAAATCTACACTATTGATTCGCAATTAAAAAAACTACACAGACTACATGACACAGGTTCAGACAAGTCAAGTGGCAAAAGAGCAAGAGCAAGTTGCAAAATAGTACATATAGTATAAACTAATTTATAATTGTTAAGTTACATTTGTGTGGCTATGTGTCTACTGCAGAATGATACACACCAAATTGCTGATGGCCATTATCTCCCATGAGGCTAGGGGGATAAGGAGAGAAGGATTTTGACTTTTCATTCCACATATTTCTACACTGAGGTTTTTACAAGCATGTATTATATATAGTTTGTACAATTTCCTAAAATGAGGATAAAAACTGTATTAGTCACCAATTGCTGCATAACAAATTACCACAAACTGAAGAGCTTTAAACAACACACATATATTTTACATATTTTCTCATAGTTTCTGTGGGTCAGAAACATAGGTACAGCTGAGCTGGGTCCTTTGCTTAGGGCCGTGCAAGGCTGCCATCATGGTTTGCCCAGAGCTGGGTTCTCATCTGGATACTCTACTGGAGAAGGATCCACTTTCCCCACTGGCATGATTGTCAGCAGTGTTCAGTTCCTTAGAGCTAGTGAATTCATGGCAGCCTGCTTCCTTTAAACCAGCAAGACATTAGAGCCAGTCTGCTGGCAAGACAGAGTCTTATGTATCATAATGTAATCATGGTAGTGACATCCCAATACCATTGCCATATTTTATTAGTTAGAAGCAAGTCACAGGTCCTGCCCACACACAAGACAATGAACACCCAGAGGAGGACCATGGAGCCACCTGAAAATCTGCCTACCACAAAGATAATTAATGTCTTTACCAGATCACAGTGGTTAAGTACCTGAAGGATGACCAGGAAGTAATATATATGGATCCAGCTCATGGTTACAGAACTAAATGAAGTCAGCCAAACAGTACAGGGATGAGATCTAAGTCTACAGTTTCATCAGTAACATTCTGTAAAACCATGCTCCAAACTCAAATATAAGTAAAATATTTCACTGTCAAGAAAATAAGCAGATATTTGACATTAAAATACAGTAATAGATCTCTAATAAAATAGAAAAATGATTTGAAAGTGGTTTTTCTAAAAGAAAACATAGGTAATGACATAACCTTAAACCAAGAAATATGAAAAAGGAAAGCAAAGAATAAAACCAGGATGGAACAAACTATGTGTCAAAACTGATGGGAAATGCTAAGTTTACTAGTGTATGATGTGTATTTGGTGGGGGGGGGGGGGAGCACGAAGATAAGCGTGATTGAATATACTCTCATACTACTTCTAACATGTCTGGAATGAAGCTACACCCTGTATCCTACAGGAAGAATAAAGGTAAAGAAAAGGTGCCACCTCTACTGAATAGAGAATCCTAACAAAGAGGCTTCAAAAGGGCTCTGCATCTTTAATAATATGAAAAGGCTAGGACACAAACAGCATAATCTAAAATGCCATTAGAAATACTTCACATACAAAAAGGTCTAAGTAAAGCAGGATTTTATAAAGTGATCAAAAAAGAAACACTAAGGGGGAAAATCTTTTAAGATTAAAGAGGTTTTTCAAAGGACAAGTTGAAGTGATTGTAAAATTTATGAGGCAGCATTAAACTTCAGTTCTAAGTAACAATAAATTATTCACTATAAAAACATACATGTGTCAAATATTATAAGACTCTTAAACTTTTTAAAACAATTTCTTACAGAACTGATTAGATGTATTAGGTCAACACTAGCAGACACTAACTTTTTCATTAGCACAGGATGACCACTCAGAGAGTAAAGGAGTAACTTTAGAAAAACAAAGACAGACAGACCATCAGTAGACTCTTCACCACCACTCCTGATCTCATCCCACTCATTATGTATTTGGCTTTTAAATCAATTTTATTGCCTTAAAGTAAAGTAAATGTCAGTTTTATTTTTTAAATGCCTTCATGTATACAAAATTACAAGTATGTTAATTCATGTACATGTGGATTAAAATGTTAAATCAAACTAAAATTGAAAAAAGATCGAATTAAATTAAGAGAAAAACATAAGAAAAGATATTGAGAAGTTTTGTTTTTGCCACACTAACTGGTATTAGCCTTGGTGGTATTCTGACACTTGACCAGAAAGATATTTCAATATGTCTTTCCAGCTCACTGTCTTTATATTGCTCACATTGTGTGAAGAGCATCTCTATAGTCTACATCCACACTTCTCTTAACTTTAAAATTTCTTTCCTCAACTTGTCCAAAAGTTTTTTTCATCCTTGTGGGACATCCTCTCTGTCACAATCCACCTATCTCAAAAGGTTTTTGTACAGATTAAGTGCCTAATATGATACATTCATTCATGCATGTAAAACACTCATCAAATAGAAATACTTAACAAAGTTCCCAAGAGGTTCCTTGCCAGTGTTAGGCGCTGGAAACAGTGCAAATAGGAAAAGCATAGTTCCTGCCTCACGGCATTTACCATCTAGCACAGAGGACAGATATGAAATCTTTGCACGTCATGAGTGCAGCAAGGAAGCACAGAGTCCCTTAAACGGACCTGGGGTGTTAGGTAAGAATTTTTTGAATTGTGAGCTCTAAACGACTGAGGAGGACCAAAGGACTGCCTGCTTTTCCCATTAATTACTTATTATATACCTGAGAGCTAATGTCTCATATTTGAACAATTTGCATTAAATGCCATTTTATTACAGGTGAGCAACAAAGAAAAAGAAGTTATGTGTTTCATTATGAAGATTTTATTACGGTATCATTTTCTAGAAAAGTCACTAATATTTGAAGAATATTCTCACTGTATTTTCTTAAATTTTATCCTCTGTTCCAAGGAAGAAAAGCCCATTCACTTGGACTCCTTGAGATCTCAAATCTATTCCTACCCTAAATCTTAATTTTACACACACCTCAATCTTCACAAATATCCCCACAACTACATATAACTGCTATGTGGAAATTATCCATGCACCTAACTCTCTTCCCTATTTACCTAAAACACCAGTTAGAAATCCAAGTCTGTACAGTCTAGGTAACGAGTGATTATGCTGCCAGATGTAGGGATAGTCTTCACTTCTACAAAGATGCAGTCTCTCTCCTCTTTTTGAGTCTTATAATCCCTCTTCATCTATCTACCTTTTCTTTCCCCTTGTGATATAATGTAAAAATGTGAAAAGAAATACTTCTTTTACCTCTCAACCCTCCTTAAAAGGGAAGAAAGATCATACTCAACAAGAGATGCAATTGATCTCCAACTCAGTGTCAAAAATGAGCAGCAAATAGTGAAGGCATGCTGCATTAGAGGAGTAGCCAAGTATTACTTGGCTCCAATGTATGGCTGTCTTTTGGAGAGACAGGTGCGTCTCCAGTTTTTTAAATTGTCCAGAAAACTAGGTATTTATATGAAATTCCCCGTTTTTAAGTTTGAATAACTCATTCAAAAATCTTTGAAGATACTACATAAGTCAAACAAAAATCTATTCACATGATTCATTCAGTCTAAGACCACAAGTTTCCAACTTCTGCTCAGCTCCAAGACATGGGAAACTACTTTAGTTCACCTTTGTACTGTAAACTCCATATTCATTACCTAGAAAGGAATACAGCTTTTAGTTGGACACTCAAGAAATGTTTTGGCAAACACCTAATGGATTTTGCAGGAAAACTAAGAATTGCGTTTTTCTTCATATGCAAACCACAATCCCTTTATACCTCCATTTACCAGCTATAAGGCTAACAAAAATTCCATGATAGCACTTCTTCTATTTTTAAATCTCCCGACTGCAAAAAAAAATACATATCTAACACCACCTGCTATTAACTTATCTATTCATTTCTCTTTAATCTTCTGAAAGCATCCTTAATTCTACCTACCACTTCTTCCTTTTTGCCTCTCCATTTTGTTGCCCCTTGCTAGTAAAAAAATTTTATGGACTGAATCTCTTGCATTGTGTTCATCTGCGCTTTTCCATCATAATACCTGAGGTCTCAAAAACATATAACCAGGCTACATCAACCATGAAGGCATTTCAAATTACTAATAACATTTCTCTGATTAAGGGAGAAACAAAAAAATTATACCAAAAAAGAGAGACTATACTGTTAACCAAATCAAATTCCAAAAAAGTAAAATTAGCAAGATAATTAGCAAGATAAGGTGATAAGGAGTGAAGCATGAAGTATGGGTCATTTCAATTGCCACTGTCCAACATTTTAACATTTCAGAAAACAATACCAAAGGTAAAATTCAAAATTTGATAAAAGCCCAATGTAAACCTATCCCTCCTAAAGGCCAAAAATTATACTATGACAATAATAAACTTTTTGTGTATTTGGAAAACTTAGAAGTTTATTTTTATTTCCACTAAAAGTCCTATTTAAGTTAGGACTTTAGTGACAAAGTACAGTTGAACGGAGTTTATCGTTACATTCATTATTTTATTAAATCAAAACAAATATTGTTCAATGAGGGGAAAAGAAAAAATTCAAGTATAAGCTTCAAGATGAATATGCAGGATGTTACATTTTGTTGAAGTCATTAGTAATGTTCTTAATTCATGCTTGTCATGAAGGAAAACAGAGAATTAAGTTATTTAAAGATACTGAGGCACTACCTTTCAAGTAATGGGATATATATATATACATATATATTTAATAGATACCCACAAAGTGGCTAAAACTGTAACACAATCTTGAATATGTAGTAAATGTTAAAGCAAAACTGTTATTTTACTTACCTCACATCCCTTCACAGCCCTCAACTTTAATAAAATTATAAAGTAAATCAACTACTTACCATAAAACACACACATACACACACACACACACACACGAAAAAACAATGTATGAACCAGTTCTGAAAACAGGCTAAATTACAAATCATATCTGAATCCCATTTTGATAGCATACCTGTGTCCATCAGTTGGCGACTGCACCAAAGAGTAACCTTCTCCAGAAGAAAGCTTCCATGATTCATTTAATTTGTGTTCACTTGTCCCCAGCTCACCCATTACCCAGTCTGGTAATCCTTCTGGGCTTGAACCTTTTGCTCGTGCTGGATTTGGTTCATCAAAATAGATGGACTGATTTTTAAAAATTAGAAAAATTATTCTTTCAGAATGTACTATAATGAAATAAAGATTTCCATCAAGTTTCAAGTCTGGTAACAACCTTTCAAATAGTCAATGTAAATTCAATTACATAAAAAATGAATAATGAATTATGAAATATTAAAACACATAAAATGGATACCATTATACATTTTATTTATGCTTCGCTGTAGAAGAAATCTGATAAGTGATAGAAATTATATAACAGGTGAATCTGGTGATTATTTGTATTATAAAAAAATAAAGCTTTATAAAAGGATAAAGACCACAATGATTTCACTTATATGTGGAATTTAAAAAACAAAACAAATGAACAAAGAAAAAAGAAACAAATAAACAAAAAACAACAAACAAACAATCCCTTAACTATAGAGAACAAACCAGTGACTATCATAGAGGAGGTAGGTGAAGGGATGGGAGAAATAGGTAAAGGGGATTAAAAGTACACTAATTATGATGAGCATGGAATAATGCATAGAACTGCTGAATCACCATGCTGTACACCTGAAACTAATATAATGCTGTATGTTAACTACACTGGAATTAAAATTTAAAATAATAATAAAACACATGTAGGAGTGATATGTCTGAAAAGTTATAGCACAAAGAATGGGAGAAGGAAATCTTATAAGCTTCTTCCATAATTCATAAATTAGTAAAATACTTTTGAAGGTAAACTGCCATAAATTAAAGATGCAATTTGTATGCCCTAAGGCAACTACTAAGAAGGAAAGATATAGCTAATAAAAATAGTGAAGATGAAATGGAGTACTAGAAATTCCCAATTAAAAAAAAAGATAAATGAAAAGTTCCTTTTAAATTATGTGCTCTATTTCTTTCTGTGATCATGAATTACTCTGCACACACACAATCAATGGGCAGAAAACCACAATCTATAAAAATCAGAAACAAAAATTAGGAATCCATTGATAAAATAAACGAGGAGCAACAGGTAGAGACCAGGAATTTAGTTCTGACCACACCATAAACTAGAAAATCCCAGGCGGTCCCCCGGCCTTCTTATTTGTGAAATAAAGCCTTTCCTATGATTCTGTGAAATGAATATGAATGGGAAAACATGATGCAACACATCCATCTATCAACGTCTGAATGGTTTCGGACAATGTTCTACCTTTAGTCCTTAAAGAAGAATGGCAGGAGCTTAATAATTGCTTTTCAAGTGAGGAGGACTTCCTGACACACTTCTGAAGAAAACTCTGCATTAACTGGATACTTGGGCACCAATTCTCCAAATTCTACCCAAAGAATCTTCAAGAGGGGTGTACTCTAGGGAGAGGTTGACACATGACCCTCTCTATTCCAAGTCAGACAGGCACAGCAGTTTTATGAGACCCTCATTGCAATGTTCAATTGAATATCAAAGTCAAGTCACTACTGCCTCCAACACTACTGATCTGAAGCAAAATACAAAGTTCTACTTTAACATTCAACTGGAAACACCATTACAACTTTCAGCATCTCTGCCTTGGACAACAGAATTATCATCTAGGGTACAGTATGCCTCTTGACTGCATTTTGGTTTAGGTTAACCAAAGTAAACTTATAAAATCAGCTTTAAAAAAAATACATAAATATCCTAATAGCAACTACCAATACTGAGTACCCCAGTCAGATTTCTCAAGTATTCAAACACCACACGAACTAAGGCATATTTCATGGTTACAAGGATCAAGACAGTGACAATTCACCAATGAAACATTATTATATCTGCCTTTGTAACAGCTGATTTTGATAGTGAAATTAGGTGAAGTATAAACTCCAACCTACTATCATCATTTTATTAGAGTAGAAAGGAATTTTATTTTTTTTAATTTTTTTTTAGAAAGGAATTTTAGATCCAACCTCTCATGAATTTTTAAATAATGTATCTGAAAGAAGTTAATAAACCAGAATTTACTGGTAGACATAAATTATACTTAATGTTATTAAGTATATTTGTTATTAAACTTCATTCAGTGAAAACTAGTGGGAAATTAAGGCTCAATATAAAAAATTTTATTTCAGTTTTTCAGAAATACTGTACAATACTGTGGAATGGGCAAATCAATAAGCACAGTGCTCTTAAGGCCAATATCTGATTTTTATTCAAAGTGGGAAAAAGTGAATTACGAAGAATAAAAACAGTTTTACCTCATATATTACCTAGGACTTAATAATATAACTATTCCCAATTGGGATGATGAATTGACATTTTTAAAGGAATGAAACTAAGACATTTTTTGGTCTACGATACCTACCATGTAGGAAGGCAATGTTTTCAGTGTCCCTGGTTCAGGCCGGTGTGTAAAGGGCCCTTCGAGCACTCCTCGCTTCAGCATGTGCAATAACAGTTTTGCATACAGGTTCCGGTTCTTCCGGCCCACTATTCCTGCACCTGTTCCTGAAGGCTCACACAGTTTCCTGATCCAAAGTGCACACCTCTGCCGTTCTAGAAATAGGTAAGAACTGTTAGAAACTTGATTTTTCAGAAAATAAACAGTAAAGACCTGTAAAACACCTGCTTTGGTCTAGAGCAAGAGCTAGCAAACTTTGTAAAGTGCCAGACAGTGATCATTCTAGGCTTTGCAGGCTACCTGGTCTCCGACACAACTACTCAACTCTGCCACCCTAACGTGAAAGCAGCCACACACCACATGTAATCAAATAGTCATCAGCATCTTCTAGTAAAACTTTACAGAAAAGGTTTGGCCCTGGGAGGCTATAGTTCACCAACCCCTGGTCTATAGTTTAACTTTTTCAGTTAACTAGTGATCAGGCAAGACAAATGCAAAGAATTATTTTCTCAAAAATAAAACCTCTGGATCACTATTGAATAAATGTCTGAATAAAATTTTACTATAAAAACATCTCTAAGATAATTTTAGCTGTGTTGAAAAATCTTTCTATAATTCTAACTACACAAAGCAGAGATGAAATGCAATCTTATTTAAGCTTTTAAACTTAACCTAAAATTAGATCTCAAATGTTTTACTTATTAAAGCTGATAAATTTCAGATTTGTAGTTGATTAATTTAGGGTTTTCTTTTAGCCTAAAAATAATTGAGGGCTATTAACCTGTAATTTAGCAAAATAATTATCCCTCTAAAGACTACCTTAAAAATACAGCACAGTTTAATCCACATATAATGACCTATTGACTACTTTATCTGACCACGACACAGAATTCTAGGCCTCATGAAAACTATTTTGACATTAATCTTTTATCAATCTAACTCAATTTGAGGATTATATATCTAACATAAATCATAAGTCTGCTTTAATCTCTTAGTTTCTAAAGGTCATATTCATTTATTGTTTTACCTACAAAAATCGCTAGGACTGGATTTACCACTTTGCTCATACCAGATTTATCACTACAAGTACGAGGGCTAACCTTTAAAGAACTATTGTATTTTTAGCTTTGAAAATTATATAATCGCAAAGCAAAGTTCATGAAATATTGGGTGTACTTTGAGAAAAAAAATGTGAAACAGATAAAGTTAAGAAAACACTTTTTCAAACTATGTATTTTCTATATGCCTTGCAGCAAATCTATATAATACCCTAAGGGCCAGAATGTGGTACAATTTAGCTCATGAAAAGAATTCATTACTTAAAATATTGAGGAGAGCCATTATTAGAAGTAGAATTTAGCTGTAAGAAGATATAAATTATTATCATTGTTCAGGCTCTTGACTGGAATGGGAGTTCTGGAGCATTCATTACAAATTAATGAATTAAACAAAAGGGCAGAATATATCAATACTGACAATGAGTCATGAACCAAAGATTACAATTAATCCGATTCTATGTACCTAACATTCACTTTAAAAGAAGATGAAATATGAGAATAGTTTTATTACAAATACATTTATAATAGAAGACTTTAATGCAAATTTGTCCTAATCAGCAGATCTAAGACAAAAGATAAAGGTAGTGAATATCAGAAGAGAACACAGTATAGATATCATTAAATAGAAATACAATTAATCAAATAATATACAAACAATACAAATCATGAATGAGCCACAGGATGTGAAATATGCATCTTTGAAGACTAGCAGAGGGACAAAGAGGAGGTTACAGTCTGATGAGGCAAGAGAAGAGGGTAGGAAAAGAAGCTTGGAAGGAAGAGCATGCCAAGCCATCCTGCGAGAAAAGGCTGCAGCCCTGCAACAATGGGTGGCCACAAAATGCGTAACTGATACACTATACCCTCTTCTCCCCAGGGTAGCTACCTGGAACAAATATCTAATATTGAGTTGCTGCCTTATTTTGAATATGGAGTTCACTTAGAGACCTTAGGGAAATAGGGAACTTGGACAAAACTTAGATAAAAGCCAGAGTTTCTTGGCCCTACTCCCCACTACTAAATCAGATTTACCTTCACATCCTACTACAGTTTAGAGAATCATCCTGGCCCCCTAAACTCACTCCAAGTATTCTCTGATGCCTTAAATTATCTGACAAGTCTTTGACTTGATACAAAGACCCTCATCCCATAATTAGAGAAAACAGGCCAGGAATTGCAGACAAGACAGCAACAAAAACTCATTCACAATTGATTTCATTCAGTCAACCAATAAGCATATGAGAGCAATAGATATTTTTCTGCTTTGATAAATAAAATTGTCAGAAAAAAAGATAGACAGTAGGCTCCTATAAGAGGAAGCATTTCAGGGAGAAAAAAGATGCAGGAAGAAACAGTGGATCTCTAGAGATCCACAGGCTTTAAGCTCATGATGTCTGACAATGGTATCATAGGAAGATCTTTCCACAGTTTACTAGGGTATTATCACTAAATTTCTACCAACCGCTGAATAGCTCAAAGCAAACAATTCTACATCAGCTTAAGATGAAACTGTGATTAAAGAAATTTAGCTTTTTGGGATGCCTGGGTGGCTCAATCAGTTGAGCATCCAACTCTTGATTTCAACTCAGGTCATGATCTCAGGATTGTGAGACTGAGCCTTGTGTCTGGTTGTGGGTTCAGTGGGAAGTCTTGAGATTCTCTCTCTCCCTCTCCCCCTCCCACCACACACAAACACACACACACACACACACACACACACGCATGCCTTTTCTCTCTAAAATAAATAAATCTTTAACTTAAATAAATAAATTTAGCTTTCCTTTTCTTTTTTTTTTTTTTTTTGTTTAAAGATGTTATTTATTTATTCATGAGAGAGACAGAGAGAGGCAGAGACACAGGTAGAGAAAGAAGCAGGCTCCTCACAAGGAGCCCGATGTGGGACTCGATTCCATGACCAGGATCATGCCCTGAACCTAAGGCAGATGCTCAACTACTGAGCCACTCAGGTGTCCCTTAGCTTTCTTTTCATTGTGATAGTTCATTGGTTTGAAAAAGTAATAAAAAGAAAAAAATTATTCTTAAGAATCTAGTTTACAATCATAATCTTACCTGACCTATGGGATAATTTTAGAACAAAGGGCTTCATATCTACCACAAAGTGATCAAATTCTGCGTCCAGCTTCTCCCATTTTTCTTCTTCACTTCCTATTTCCATAATTCAGCCTATAAAAGATTTAAAATGAAAATATTAAGATCTGTCTGCTGATAACTACACAACTCTAATGAAAGAGATCAAGAAAAACTCATTAGAGCTAAATAGTGTTAAATATCTCCAAACTAATCTATAGATACAATTCTAGTCAAAATTCCAGCAGTATTCTTTGTAGACAAGCTGGTTTTGAAATTTACATAAAAATGTAAAAGAACTAGAATAGCAAAAACAATTCTGAAAAAAGAACAAAGTTACTGGAGAATTCAATTACCTTATCTTAAGATGTGCTATCAAGCTATGTAATCAAGACAATGTGGTATTGGTGAGAGGATAAGACACACAGACTCATGGAGCAGACTAGAGTTCAGAAATTGATGCAAGTATGGACAGCTGGTATTTGACAAAGGTTCAATTCATGGAGAAATGATAGGTTTTACAAAAAAGACACTGTAACAATTGGACATCCATATGGAAAATAAATAAATAAACGTCAACCTAAACCTTATAGTGTATGCAAAAATCAACTCAAAATAAATCATAGACGTAAGTATATAATGTAAAACTATAATTCACTTAGAAGAAAAGATAGGAGAGAATCTCTATGACCTTGGATTAGACAGGATTTCTCAGGTATGACACCAAAAGTACTCCCCATTAAAGAAATATTATTATATTGAACTTCACCAAAATAAAAAAAAATGCTCTGCAAAGGACTCCATTAAGGGATTGAAAAGATAAGCCACAGACTGGGAGGAAATATTTGTAAGACATATATCTCATAAAGGATTTATATCAAGAACCTATAAAGAACTCTCAAAATTCAACCATAAGAAAACAACCAAAAAAATACATAGCCAAAAAAAAAGTCCCTTTGCCAAAGAAAATACAAATAAGAACTAAACACATGAAAAGATGCTCAATGTCATTAATCATTAGAGAACTCCAAATTATAATCACAAGATCTCAGTACATACCTATTAGGACAGCTAAAATTAAAAAACCAAATAAGCAATACCAAATGCTGATGGGAACACAGAACCACAGAACTCTCATGAACTGCTGGCAGGAATGCAAAATGGCGCAGCCACCTTGAAAAACAATTAAGCAGTTTCTTCCACAGTCCAACAACATACCCTTATTATATGATCCAGAAATCCCACTCTTAGGTATTTACTCTAGTGAAACAAAGTCTAAAATGATGCAAAAAAAGACCTGAATTTAAGACCAGTAGCCGCTTTTTTCTTGGTTAATCACCAAACACAGGAAATGTCCCTCACCTGGGGAACAGATAAACAAACTCTGGTGTATGCACACAATGAAGGAGTGCTCCGCAAGAGAAAACAATGAACTGACATACATGGCAGGGATAAACTCTAAATGTATTTCGCTGAGTTGTGGAAACCATTCTCAAAGGGCTATACTGTACAAATCCATTTGTATGACATTCTAGAAAAGGCAAACAGTATGAGTACAGAGAACAGATCAGTGGTCCACAGCGGTCAGCAGGTGGGGGAAGAAGAATCTGAACACAAAGCAGAGGCATGGGGAAAGCAGCTGGGGTGCTGGAAATTATTCTGCATACTGTTTTTATAGCAGGTTATAAGACCCTATTCTATGTACGTGTAAAAGTTCATCAAATTGTATACCAAAAAGTGATTTTTTAACTGTATGTAAATCCAAAATTTTTAATTCCCCTCAAAAAACTAAAAAGATTAGTCCTTGCATTTCTTCGTAATAAGCAAGAAACACACTACCTATAAGAAAGTGAATCCCCAAAATCAGTAGGTTTTGACAAAATTCCTTAAGTTAAAAATATCCACACTCAACATGTTCCCTTAAATTAAGAAAGGTCTTGGAGGGATATGGACTACCTCTACACTACGCAGAGTCCCCAATTTGTCATTTATTCATTTACAAATTACAGGTTGGAAAAAAATTTGTCCTGCCTCATAAGCTGTCTCCACAGACTGCCCTCCCCCTGCTAAACCAGCTTCTAATACTGACCACAGTGTCCTCCCTCTTACTACCAACAATCTCCTTCTAGAAAGGTCTTTCTACCTGTCTCTGCAAGTAAACCATAGCTCTTGCCAGTCGCCATGACTTCCCTCCCACTTGCTAGACGTGAACCCATTCCCTCTCAGAAACATGGTACCCACTCTCTGGGGTCTTTCAGCCTCCTCTTGGCCTCGGCCAGGAAGGAAACCAGTGACTGCAAACCATCCTGCCACTCCCCAGCTACTGCTCTTCCAACCTCAACCCAGAACTCTTGTCTTAGGAGGCCCTCAACATCTGACCAGACCTCATTCTCCCCATTCCCATCACCGTTACCTTCCCAAATCCCTTTTATCTGATCATAGCCTTCATCCTCTTAAACTCTCTCTCATCCTCTGCTTCTCTCAGCAAGCCTGAACTCCTCCCATGCCCTCCTTCACCCCTTCACTAAGGGTCTGCTGGAGAAAAATGGCATTGCCTGTAGTCAGCTTCCCACCTTACCCGAAACCTCGGATGTCTTTCACTATTTCCTCCTCCAAGAAGCAGCTTTTGAGCTTTTATCAGACATCTTAGAGCCCCTCAAACTGTTCCTGCCTTCCCTCACTCTCAATTTTAAAAAATCCCTGGGTGGCTTGGCGGTTTCGCGTCTGCCTTTGGCCCAGGGCGCAGTCCTGGGGTCCCGGGATCAAGTCCCGCGATGGGCTCCCGGAGTGGAGCCTGCTTCTCCCTCTGCCTGTGTCTCTGCCTCTCTCTCTATGTCTATCATAAATAAATAAAAATAAATCTTTAAAAAAAAAAAAAACTTACCCCCTCTTCATGGGAAAAATAAGAGTCAAGTGGTGACACCTCAAAATACCCTTCCCTACACCTCTGAACTTTCCTCTAGGAGAATAGAACACCTCCTTGCCTCCTTTGCGTCGGTATCCTTTTTTTTTTTTTTAAAGGTTTTATTTATTTAAGTTAAGAGACTTCAGGATCGTGCCCTGGGCCAAAGGCAGGCGCTAAACCGCTGAGCCACCCAGGGACTCCCTGCTTCTGTATCCTAAGCGCTAACTCTCCTCTCTAGTGCCATTATTTCTATCACCTATCAGTTACCTCCTCACAGGTTCACACTTTCCATCCCCTCTGCCTCCAGCCCCTCCACAGGTTCCATCCTCTAATTCCCCTCAAGCCAGTAAGTCAATAAGTACTCAGAAATGTCTCCAAACCTGCCTGTGTCTCTCTTCTTGCTGCCCCTGTGTCAGAGAGAGCCTTTCCCACTACTCCCCAGCCCTCCTGAAACAGCCGGCCTCCCCTCTGTCTGCTTTTCCTACTCTAGCCACTGGTACCAGAATAAGTTCTCTAAGTGCAAAGCTAAGTATATCCCTCTCTAAACAAAAATCTCTCTTGACTACCTACTATAAGATACTATCTAAAGCCAAAGTTAGGCCTACAAGTGAACCCATCTCTCCCCTCTCCCTATATCCATGCTGTCCAACATGTCCAACTGCCAAGGGCCACTTCCCAGCCAATGACCTCCGTGCCATTCTTGCCACACTCCAAGCCTTTACACGACCCCACATCCTCTCCTCAAGCAGTTCCCTCTGCCTATAGTCAGGTAAATACAGCTTAAACGGCACTTCAGAGAAAAGCCTGCCCAGTTTGGTCAAGACTCTTAAGTTCCATTCTCAGTGTGCACTGCTCACATCTGTGGGGCAGCATTCACTATGCTAATTCTTTGTACATATCTGTATATTATTTACATGCCTTCCACCATCTGTGAGATGTTCCTAGAAGGCAGGGCCCATGACTCACACATCTTAGACGTATCTGGTACTTTACGTGGCACGTTATTAGAAGCTAAAGAACTCGTACAAAGAACAAATGCTAACAAAAGGGGAAAATGTCCCACTTTAACAAGACTAATAATGTTTAGAAGATTTTAAGTACCAAACAGATCTTCAAGAATAGAAATATTATATGGCCTTAATTCGATTTACCAAACCGGGCCATCCTACCTTCTGCATCACAATAGAAGAATCATATTGTCAAATTTAAGACTTGATTAAAGGAAATGTTATTTAGGGCAGCCCAGGTGGCTCAGCGGTTTAGTGCCCCCTTCAGCCCAGGGCGTGATCCTGGAGACCCGGGATGGAGTCCCACGTCCAGCTCCCTACATGGAGCCTGCTAACTCCCTCTGCCTCTCTCTCTCTCTCTCCCTATGTCTCTCATGAATAAATATATAAAATCTTTAAAAAAAAAAGTAAATGTTATTTAAATGCATTTTCTGATTGGTTAGTTGGCTTGGGGGTGTTTGGTTGGTTGTTTTGCCTTCCTACAATAACTAACTGCATTCCTATATAATTACACCTGTTATGTACTTGGTAACAGAAGACTATGATACCACTACAGGATATTAGATCATAAAGCTGAAAAGCAACTATTCAAATGGATGAACAGACAACTGGAAACTCCCAAACTCAGAATTTTAAGCACAGCTCTAGCCTAGGAGTATATTCCCAGGCTTAAACAGCACATCCTGCCCATCTATTCATTCACCTAAGAGCATCAATAGATAAAACTAAAGCAAAAAGATTTCTAATGATCACTAATTCACAATAAATCCCTTGACACACGCAAGAAAGGTTAACATTTAATGTTAGAGAAAAATAAAACTCAATAAAGACTCCCCCAAAGTCATGAAATTAAGCACAAAGCTCAGATTAAAATTCTGAAATCCCATGCTCTCAGATCCATTATACCCGACCTCTTGGCTATTAACATATACGTCAGCAATATCTCCAATAAAGACATACTTTGAAAAGTAGAAAGGCAATTGGAATTGCTATCAGAACTTACAATACTGGAGTACAGTTTTTTAAAACACAATAAAGGGTCCATGTGACATTGGGTAAACGCTAAAAATCTGCATCTCTTTATCCCTTATTTATTCTCCAAAAAAAATTAAGAAATGCAAAAAGGGAAAAAATTGAGGTACCATTTCAAACCTTCAAAGAACTCTTGCTACACAAATTACATCTTATAAACAAACTGTATCTACTAAGTTCCAACTAATCAAAAAGTTTTAGGACTACCTAAAGCTGTATGTTTGCCTTAGGCATGTGCCTATACTAGTCACATAAATTCCTTCACAAGCAAAAAGAGAAGTCAACTGGGTGACTCTTGCTTATAATCTAGATTTGATCATGTCTTTCATTCAACTCACTGGCATTATCTTTAAAAAACAAAACAAAACAAAACTGGGCAGCCTGGGTGGCTCAGCGGTTTAGCGCCGCCTTCAGCCCAGGGTGTGATCCTGGAGAACCAGGATCAAGTCCCTCATCAGGCTCCCTGCATGGAGCCTGCGTCTCTGCTTCTGTGTGTGTGTGTGTGTGTGTGTGTGTGTGTGTGTGTGTGTCTGTCTGTCTCATGAATAAATAGAAAAAAAAAACAAGGGATCCCTGGATGGCGCAGCGGTTTAGCGCCTGCCTTTGGCCCAGGGCGCGATCCTGGAGACCCGGGATCGAATCCCACATCGGGCTCCCGGTGTATGGAGCCTGCTTCTCCCTCTGCCTGTGTCTCTGCCTCTCTCTCTCTCACTGTGTGCCTATCATAAATAAATAAAACAAACAAAAAATATAAAAAAAAAAGAAAGAAAAAAAAAAACAAATTATACGTGGACACCTATCAAATGGGCTTAGACCTCCTCAAAGTGCTTAGTTGCCCTAGGAGTCAGCAAAGTAGAAGCAAGCCTCAATGATCGTAAGGCCTTGGAAGAAAAGCAGCCACGCTGCCGAACGAAGGATACGCATCTCTCACGCCCTCCGTCCAACACGATAAACATATTCCTGAAAGCTGCAAAAAAAAAAAATAAATCAATTTTGTAGGAGTCATTCCAGAAAACTCGAAATGCGTCCCCTCGGTAAATCAGCAAGTTTTGCAGGTGCACGTGATGTTCGGACAGTCAGCAGAGGGAGTGACTGGGGCTTGCTTTCCCTGATGGTGCCAGGAGCGTGCTGTGCGCTTTGCAAACGCGTCCCGGGCGTCATCATCACCCTGGGAGGACGGGCACTGTTTCATGCCCATTTCCCAGAGGGGGAAGCCGAGGCTCAGCGGGGTTAAGGAGCTGCTGCTGCCCGGGAGTCAGCCCCACGCGAAGTGGCAGCTGGGCCTCGATACTGCGCAGATGCTCCTGCCATTCCGCTCGCCTCTTCTACCTTATCTTTACGCCCACGTCTAAAGAACAAAGGGTAAGACGGCCACGCGAGGAGGAGGATGAAAGCTGTGGGTCTGGACTTGCGTGGTCGTCCTGAAGCGTGGGGCTCGGAGCACGCCGGGCCAGGCCTTCCCGAGCGCGGGGGCGCCCAGCCCGCCCTGGGAGGAGCTGAGCTGCCCCGCGGGAGCGGGAGCGGGAAACAGGGGAGCGGGAGGCAGGGGAGCGGGGGCGGGGGGGGGTGCGAGCCCCCGAGGCCGCGGCCGCCTCCCTGCCCCCGCGGCCGGACCCCGGGACCCCGTCCTGAGGACCAGCTCCAGCCGCTTGGAAAACTTTGCCCGGAACTCTCCCAGCCTGGATTTCCCTCCGCAAGTGGAAGCGGGGCCGTCGGCTCGCAGCCCTCCCCCCCCCTCCCCCGTCCCCCCTCCCCTCCCCCCCTCCCCGCCTCCATCCCCGAGCCGCGCGCGCGCCCCACAGGCCTGGCGAACGGGCCCGGGGCCTGCGAAGCGACGCCCCTCCTCGAACGCGCCCCCGGTCCCCCGCGCAAAATTCCACTCGAGAACCCGGGGGGGCAGGGGGGGGCAGGGGGGGCGGGGGAATTCGGGAAATCGAGAACCTGACGCCCCTACGTGCAAGCTTTCCGGACGACCGCCGCCGCCGCCGCCGCCGCCGCCGAGAAACGGTTTCAAATCCTTGCGGGCCGCCGCCGCCGCCGCCGCCGCCGCCGCCGCCCAGGCAGCCCGGGGGCGGGGACTTCCGCGCTCGCATTCCCCGCCCCCTTTTCCCACCCCTCCGGTCGCGGCCGGCGCGCGCGGCGCCGTTGCCAGGGCGACGCTCCCGGCCCTCCGGAGGCGGGACTTCCGGCCCTCCGGAGGCGGGACTTCCGTCCCCGTGTCCTCGCGCTGCCGGTCGCGGGGAGCGTTGCCATGGCGACGCTCCGGGTCGTCGCGCCGCCTTCCAGGACGGCGGGGCTGCTTGACGACGGTACGTGGGCGGGGGGTCCCAGGCGGAGGTTCCCGGGGTAACCGGAGCGCGGGGTGCGCGCTGCTGCCCTGGGGCATCTCGCTGGTGACCGCGTTAGGGGTCGTGGAGGAGGAACAGGTGCAGGGTAAGGAAGACGGGATCGCTGGAGGCTGTTCACAAGAACGGGTGCGCCTTTGGACAGACGTCGTCGAGTCTGCAGAAGTGAGAGTTTACTGCCTGGTAGCTCAACACCCAGAGGTGACTGAGGTCGGATTTAACGGGAAGCATGCACATTAGTTTGCTTTTTTCTTTTTTCTTTTTCTTTTTTTTTTTTTTGCATTCAGAACTATCCGAGGTTTGGAGAAACTGGACCCCCCCAAATCCTGTCTGAAGATGCTGAAATAAAATAAAAGGTTTTGTGGTTGCCAATTCTGTGTTAGAATAGCAAGATCAAAAAAAACAAACAAAACCGTAATAGCAAGATCAAGTGGAAAACGTAATTTTGCTACTCCCAGGAAGTCTCAACCACCCCAATGGCAGTTCCCATGTCTGCGTTGCTCTGTTGTGGCTTTCTTTGGTCTTCTATTCCATTTCTGGAAAAGCTCTGAAGTATATTTATTTAAATGGAAGGGCAGAAACAACATTTAAATTGTAAAAACACTGACTTAAATGAAATTCCGTTTACCACTGTTTTTCATCTAATTTCACAACAGGAATCCTTCTGCAGTACCTCTGCAATGCACTCAGCGTGATGCCAAGTCTAACATAAGCACAGCTTGACGCAGCTTTTCAGCTTTCCATAAAGAAAATAGAAGATTCATTCGTTTGTAACTAGTTACTTTCAAGCTTCCAAAGGGAAGTCGTATTCTCTCCAAGGTGCTTTTTCAAACCCACCCCACCGGAAATAAGCACCAACAGTTCTTCATTGTTTCCATGACAAATTATGAAGGCTAAAAGAAGGTAATGAGATGAAACGCTCTTAGAAATTAGCCTTCCAAAGCATATTTGAACATGTTTATAGCTAAAGAATGATCATTAATCCGGATCATTTGCACTAAGATTCAGGGATGCAAAACCCATGCAAGCAATTAATTGCAGGAATTTGACCCCTCAGTGAAGATCTTCAAAATATATAACCACATTAAATGGAGAACATGAAATGAATTTTCAACATTTGATGTCTAAGTAAGCATAAGCAAAAAAAAAAAAGTGGAAGATGAAAAAAAGATCAAGGGAAAAAATATAACAAAGTCAGGTTCATCTGAGAGGAAATAACTGCAGCGAAAAACATGGTTACAAATAAAAATAAGTAAAAAACTTAAGAAAGTAAACTTCCTAAACTATTTTCTCTAAATGAGTATTAAGAGTATTAAGTAGAGAACTAATTAATTACTTACTCAAGTAAGTAAGAATATATGAAAATCTCCCTTTCCACTTTTAAAAACTAGAAGACTGGGATCCCTGGGTGGTGCAGCGGTTTAGCGCCTGCCTTTGACCCAGGGCGCGATCCTGGAGACCCAGGATTGAACCCCACGTCCGGCTCTCGGTGCATGGAGCCTGCTTCTCCCTCTGCCTATGTCTCTGCCTCTCTCTCTCTCTCTCTGTGACTATCATAAATAAATAAATAAATAAATAAATAAATAAATAAATAAATAAATAAATACTAGAAGACTGTCATTTTTTCATTTAAAAAAGTTTATACGGGGGCACCTGGATGGCTCAGTGGGTGAGCATCTATCTGCCTTTGGCTCAGGTCATGATCCCTGGGTCCTGGGATGAAGTCCTGCATCGGGCTCCCCACAGGGAGCTTGTTTCCCCCTCTGCCTATGTCTCTGTTTCTCTGTGTCTCTCATGAATAAATAAAATCTTTTTAAATAAATAAAAATAAAAAAGTATAGACAGTTGACCCTTGAACAAAATGGGTTGGAATTGTATGAGTCCACTTATACACCAATTTTTTCCCATAAATACAGTAGTATAGTCCTGTTATTTTCTTTCCCCTTCCTCTTTTTTTTTTTCAGATGGGGGGAGTTAAAGTTTTTTTTTTTTAAGATTTTATTTTTTATTTATTCATGAGAGACACAGAGCGAGAGAGAGAGAGAGAGAGAGAGGCAGAGACACAGGCAGAGGGAGAAGCAGGCCCCATGCAGGGAGCCCGATGTGGGACTCATCCCGGGTCTCCAGGATCACACCCCGGCCTGCAGGCAGCACTAAACCGCTGCACCACCAGGGTTTCCCTTCCTTATGATTTTCTTTTCTCTGGCTTACTTTATTGTAAGAATACAGTATATGACAGTATAACATACAAAATATGTGTTAATCGACTCTTTTGTCAGTGAGGCTTCCAGTCAACAGTTGGCCATCAAGTAAAGTTTTGGGAGAGTCAAAAATCATACATACAATCAACTGTTCAGGGGTTCAGCCACCCTAATCCCCATGTTGTTCAAGGGCCAAATGTATGTAAACATACATACACATATTTACGCAAACAAAAATATTGTTATGCGGGGAGGTTTTAATTGTTATTTATGTTATAAATATGTAGCTGGGATACCAGTTTGAGACTGAGCTGTGTTCACTTTAGGATTCAAGCCTATACATCATGTTGAGAGGTCTGGTGGAAAATGTAAAGAATCTCCTTACATGAGAACCAAGGAACCCCTAGGAAATAACTCATCCTACGAGATGGTGAGCAGATCTGGTTCAATGATGATACAAACATTGAAGGGGAAGGCAGTTCTCTATAAAGCATAGTGCTAGCCATAGAATGGCTTCCAGTTCTCCTCCTCTTGTAAAAAAAAAAAAAAAAAATGATTCCTAATCTTTAGAGGTAAGGAATGTCCAAAAATCTTAAAAACTTATAACCCTCCTCCCTTACTCCTCCACCATCAAATGCTCACATGCCCCAAAATGTGCATACCAATCAAAGGGTTTCCAAAATTTCTGAAGCTCATCCATACAGCTTAGGTTAAGAACGCCTGTGTGTGGATTTTATACCCATTTAAACATTGAGAACAGAAGCCATAACTGGCATTTGTGAACATAGTTTCTCAAGGTAGCACGTAGTACAGACAACATTGCCCCTAGCAGTGGGCGCCAACAACGTCAGAGCAGGCCTCAATGAAAAGTAGCAGCAGCAGGGATGCTTTCATCAAGCATCAGAGATAAGAAGTGAGAATAACAGCATCCTCACAGCTACACACACTAAAAGAAAAATAAATGCTGCACAGCGTATGGTAGTTTAGTAGGATACAGAGCACATGTGAGACCCACCCTGGAGACCTCATTAATATTCAGGAAGAAGTGGCCAGAATCAGAGTCCATTCAGGGACCTCAAGGGTAAAGCCAGATAAATACTCTTTTGTGACTGTTGTAGTAATAGCCCCAAGTTTATATGGCCTGAAAAATACAGTTTCACATAAACTTTTTATGGCTAAACACCTATGGCAACCAATTAAGAAACAGGACTTTTGTGTCTAGTTACCTTATTATCAAGCATAATAATTTTTCAGCTCAAAATAGATTTATTGAATGCTACTAGGTGCCATTGAACCTTTAGTATGTATCTTCAAGGAATGTTTCCTCTACCAGGAATGTTCTAACACTTTGTTCTTAAATGTCACTTAGCCAGGCCTTCATTGATTCTTAAACCACCCTTTATTCTCTTTTAAAACCCCTGTACCTTTCATCCATTGCATTTATCAAAATTTATTATCAATTATTAACTAATATTAACAATCTTTTTCAAATGTTTGTAGGCTCCGTAAGGACAGGGACCATATATGCCACGTTTACCACGGTAGACCCAGCACCTTGCAGAGTACCTACCACTTAGAGATGATCCATAAATGTTTATTGAATCAAAGAATGAAGACAGATTGGTCTTTTGTGCTTTTCTCCGCACCTGTGGTAGAATAGGACCACACTTAACTTCCTACTTTACAAAGCTTCCATTCAAAAGACCTAGGAGACTAACTTGTCTGGATTCACATTTTCTTTCTGGGAGAGTGCATCTGATTGGTCTAATTTGAATCCAGTGAGAGCACACTTAATCAGATCGGGTATGGTCAGGAGATTGGGCATCCCACTATATAAACATGACTTTATTAGCTCAATTTTGTGTTAAAGGACAAGGATTGGGATTCCTTTCTCGGAGAAGAAGGCTGAGAAGTTAGCACAAATGGTTCCAACTACATCAAAGCCTCAGGAGTTGTTGGGAACAAAGATGAGTTTCTGCCCTCCGAAAATATAAAATATAGTAGGAGATGATAAGACAAACACCAGATTTAAAAAAAAAAAAACAGATAACCACATTTGGAGTCAGATTATGTCACCTGCTTTAAAAGGTATATCAATAATATATTATGGGAAGAGAAGGAAGATAAAGCAAACACTATATAGTGATTATAAAGTCAGGAAA